ACCCACACACACCCACACACACACACACACACACACACACACACACACACACACACACACACACACACACACACACACACACACACACACCCTGCACTACACTATGTATGATGTATATGTGGAGGAAAGGAAGTGGGAGTGAAGCACACAGAGACTGACCTACATTAGTGTTTAGCTTAAGGTGCATCATATTTCACATGTTTGCATGTGCATGTACACATATGGATTCTGACGTGCACTTAGACACAACCCCACAAAAATGCACTCAGCCATGAAGGGAAGTGTGACCTTATTCTCCTATGAGGGCACAGGATGCTACATATTTTATACTACACCATATACACAATATATCTTTCACACATACATGCTGCTGTATCTGCAGAACCACACTCATGCACTTCTTGTACTACTTTTGTTAGCTCATTTGCAATGTAGACATAAAAGAAACATACGTCAAACATAGTCAGAAAGTTTGTGTTGCGTGTTTTATGATTGATCTACAGCCTTCACTTATTAAGACTTGTTCTCTGTTTATTTTTGGTAAGCTGAACAAGTGCCCTTTTACCCTGATTCAAATGTATACAGTTAAATAAACTCTCACCCAGGAGCTTCTCAGCACACCATGCATGTTGGGGATTAAGTGTCTGACTGAAGACTGAAGGCAAGTGCTCCTGAAGCATTTTCCTGCCCAATTCTAGCCTGAAGCTCCAGATTTCAGCTTGCTGCCTCCAGCATCAAGCCCACTGCTCTTACATTGGGCTGATGTGTTGTTGCAGGTATCAATACAGGGTTTCTATTGGACAGCATGTAGTAGCTATGTACTAATGGCTAATTTACAAAGATGACTAATTTCTTCTTTTTTTTGATGTCATCACAAGACCAGTCTGCCTTCAGTAATCGTGTCACTAGATCTTCGCACATCAATTCATTGGCTTGTTGGTATCTTTATGTATTTAATAAATAAACCAATATATCAATCATCATCAAGTTATATTAGTGAAAGAAAGACAAGTCAAAAAGTGCTCGAAGAAAGTTGTTAACACTTCTGCCTTCAGAAATAATGCAAACAAAAGCACTAATGATAATTGTCAAGAATAACATTCAAAGACGTGTTTAAGAGTACAAACATTTGATGAACCTTGTATGGTTGCAAGTCCTTTACCATGCACTAATACGCTTATCCTTCTTATTAGTCTTTGGTAAATGGCCCTTTTTGCCCTTGTTTTTACACAGCTATCTTAATTAGAAATAGACTGCAATGAAAATAAATATATTCTCATATACAATTGTACATAAGGTGCCATAAGTTACAAACTATAACATTATTATTCAGTTCATAATCAGAGAGATTCTGTCTATAGTAGCTGTGCCTCCCCTTCGCCTCCTGTGATTTATTCTTCATCTTCTCAAAAATGCCGACATGCATGTGGGCGTGAGTGACAGGAAATGGGGACGCCGCTCCCCCCAAGATATCTCCTGACTCGTATGAAAAATGAACCTCAGGTTATTTTTTGAGTGAGCAGATCATTCTGTGGTGTATCACTGTCATAGAAAGAAACTATCAAATCCCTGGCATGTGGAGAGCTTAAATACCTCATCTCTGAAAATGACTAGATAGGAAATGGCTTTTTTTTCTAATAATCATGTATTATCAGAAGTACTCATGAATAAATGCAGGCATCCTTTGGGCCACTCAGTAACAAGATGCAACATTCCTCACAAGTATAATTAAAATCAAAACTGCTTGTGTGGCAGCTATAGCCTTTAGATTCTGAAACCTTGACCTTTAATTATGGTACCTCAGTGTAAACTTTGAAGCTCCGGAGCAACCTGTCAAAAATGCAAATCATTAATAACAGTTAGGTAAAATTAAACTGAGGGTCTCAGAAATAACATGTTTCGACCCTTATTATGGGACAACTGTTAACAAATATACATTGTATTAGGCAAAATCAAATGACTGATTATTAGAGTATTTATACTTGTATTTAGAGCCAGAACTGTAGGACCCTTTGTTTTGGAGCGGATGGAATTTATGTCTGTTTCCTTTGTCGTTTCTTATAAGGCAGAGACGTTGCGATGTGAAGCAATAAGATAAACCTCATATTAGCAATTAAGAAAGTGTAACCTGACAGATACAAATTCCTGAATAAACACATCATCAAGAGTGGTTTAATGTTCGCATAAATTAGCAAGACACTATAAGCTTGTGGTGTAAATACCACTGAGAAGATGCAGGTCTTTATATTTACACTTTTCCCCACTTCAATTAGCGGGGGAAATTGGTTTTACCACTAACATGACGTAATGTGCCATGAAGCATCAACACTGAACACTGATACCCTTTTGGGAACATAATTAAAGTATCACTGTAGTGGAGAGGGAAGACACTCAATTACTTATCTAAAAAAAGATCACAGTTATCAGTGCTTGGATTTTAAAATACCTGTAAGTGGTTTTCTCGATGTATATTATTTGCTAGACAATTTGTCATGAAGCTAAAGGTTTGACAGAAAATAAATGTGATCCCTCCCTGGTCTTTGGTGAGAGAGGCTAGCTATTCACAATACCTGTAAATTAAAGCAGCATGTCACTGTCAAGACTTAGTGTGCAGGGCTACAAGGAGGTGGATGTAATTACTCGTTTTATCAGAAAGCCATATATCAAATATACAGATGCAAGGCTACACACACACACACACTCACATGAGGCTCTTTAAGACATTTGTTTCAGCAGCTTTAGCCGTCTCATCGTGTTAATGTTATTTGGACAGGCAGATTGGCTACTGGCAGGCTCAACTATTCACCAGAGTCTGGGGCCATTTTTCAAAACATCAATTAGGAGTCTGCATCCCATCGATCAGAGCACTAGCTATTTACTCAGAGTGAAATAAATGAACTCATGTGTCCCTGAACAAAGGTTTGGAAGAGACGTAATTGCACATATCATGGGGGTTACGTCTTCTATCATGCATCTGCATAACAAACACGTCTTTTATGTATTGAAGGCTGATACATTTCTGGTGGAGTGTACATTAATAAGTCACCCTATTAGACCACGGTGGGTTATTATTCTCTGTCTTTGTGCATGCGAAAGCTGTAAATGCCATTGTCAATTAAAGAGATTAAGAGCGATGATGGGTGACAAACGGTGTCACGTCCTATTTCTATCACCGCCTTTAATAGGGTGATGTTTATTTTACATACACAGCAGGAAGGCAGTGCGTGTGTGTGTGTGTGTGTGTGTGTGTGTGTGTGTGTGTGTGTGTGTGTGTGTGTGTGTGTGTGTGTGTGTGCGTGCTATTTAGCGCTGTACTCAATGGTTGTCTTCCTGAGATTTTGAAGAACAGATATTTTAAGTGTCTAAGTGTCGGAGCTGTCCAAGAAATATTTCACATAAAAATAATAACGATACGTAGCAGCAGGTTTATGAGTGGTGCTCTGAGGTACAAGCATTGGTTAGATGGATTGATTTTTGTTTGGCTGCCTCTCTATAAACCATCCAAATACGGTGCTGAGGACAGAAGTAAAAGCGGGGGGGGGGGGGCATTTATTTTTAAGCAGCATTATTTATAGTTCTGTACTATCTCGTTTGAAGTGGAACACTCAGTAGCACATGAAAAGAAACAATGGTACTATTGAATTTGATGGGGCAGAGGATGCATCAAATAGCGGAAGCTGGCACGTAATGTATGTGGAGTCCATCAGCAACAGATATCTCTTCAATTATTCAGCAGGTTAGCATGAAAAATAAATGGCTTCTTCCTGCAGTGAGAGGTGTGGCACTGCTCTGGTTCCTGTGTGTCTTTCATCCTTTCACTAATCACATATAGGTTAGGGTGGGCAATTGATTCCTTTCACCTATGTTCACGGATCACTGCATCTCTCTCGGTATTGGACCACACTAAAGTTTTTGGCAGCCGCCTCAGCCTCGTCGACACTGAGAGCTTTCTATAATTCTCACTAACCTCTAGGTCAGGTGAAAGCAGATCTGATTATCAAATGTTTGAGAGAAAAGCAGTTCCATAGTAACCATCTTCTGACCTTTGCCCCTTTTAATCAAAAATCAAAATATCAAAACACTTTGCAAAGGGATGGAAAATTCTCAAGAACGTACAAAGACAGAAAAGGTTTATTTTAAATACTGCAAACCTAAGCCATCTAAAGGTCAAACGTTTCAATGGTATTTAAATGATAATTAGGACCTCTATTACTTGGAAAATCTTTTTCATTTGAATGCTGCTGAAACAATATTTGATCTTGACATTTCTTTCCTGCAAATCGCAACATCAATGCATACTGGGTAGTTCAACATCTATATATATATATATATATATATATATATATATATAATTATATAACACAACCCTTTGATCATGTGTTTTTTAGTCTTGATCTAACCATGAATTTGAATGAATAGGTTTGCTGGGAAGACATGCTTTGGAGAACTGACACTGCACATACGTCATTTAGATTTGAATCTGTATTTGTTCATTAAATCGACGGACTCAAGATTACAATATCTCTTTGTGCAGTTCAAATACTTTAAAAATATGTATTCAATTTGTATTGCTGGGTCTCCTTAATTAAAGCAAGTACCATTGCATTCAGTGTTTTGCTGTCGGTAAATTCATAGCATTTTAATCTGGACCTTTGTTGTGTGTTTTCAATAGTATAAATTCTTCCACTTGTTTCATTTGACAGCATGGATATATAGGTGGCTCACTTCCAAGATTAGATTGAAAGCAAGCCAGGTGTCTCTGATATCACGTCCCTTTGTTCTCGGTGATAGGCATTCGGCGTTAGCTGTCTGTTATTTCTGTCTGTCTTCGGGGTTCTTTCCTGCCTTTCTTCTCCTGTCTAACTAAATTGTGGCTCTCAGTGTGTCGATGTCTCGTTTTTCTGTTCACGATGATCGACGCAGGAAAGAAGAAAAGGTGGAAACAATTGCTCTGCTTGAATTCTAATTTGAGCTTCCTCTCTGGTTCTATGTCTCTCCAGGTGGTCAATCTCGCTGGTCCTCCCCTCCCTGCGACTGTTGCTGCAAGAACCACAAGGGCGACGGCGAGGGCGAGAGCGGCACCTCCTTCAACGAGCTCTCCACCTCCAGCTCCGAGAGCCAGTCAGAGGCAAGCTCTCCCCAGGGAACGGTCATCTGCGGGCCAGTCAGCCGCCAGTCACACCCCCGCACCACCGTCCAAACCCTGGACAGGCCACCAAAAAAGGGCCCCATCGGCATGGTTCAGCAGTCCGAGCAGCGGCGAAAGAGTGACTTGCTGCGCACGCTTACGGCGAGTTCCCGGGACACCAGCACCAGCAAGAAAAGGCCGGCGAAAGAAAAGCTGACGACCGAGGAGGAGCTGGATAAGTGCATTCAAGACTTCCGCAAGATCAAGATCCCGGAGCGGTTCCCCGAGAGGAAGTACAATTGGCAAGCAGACCTGCTGAGAAAGTACCGCGTTTGAGCCAGGATAGAGGGAGCAGACACACAAGGCCAAGGATCAGTTTACATGTTTTTTGATCATGACCTTTGCAACAATAGGGAGATAACACTAAACTCATTTGAATCCAGTTTCTGGGGGGAACTTGACCTTTATGCCAGTGGGTTGAAAGTCTACACAAAAGCTAGCAAGAAGCATCAAAACTAGACAGTTCTCTTATTGACATGTAGTGTGTGTGTGTGTGTGTGTGTGTGTGTGTGTGTGTGTGTGTGTGTGTGTGTGTGTGTGTGTGTGTGTGTGTGTGTGTGTGTGTGTGTGTGTGTGTGTGTGTGTGTGTGTGTGTGTGTGTGTAGTTTAGGTCTACTGTATGTAGCCTACTGTAAGTATGTGCTGTACCTTGCTGAATGCTTCAGAGCTTTGAATAATGTATCTCTATGTACCAAGCCAAGTGGGTGAAAGACATCTTCTATGAACCGATTAACGACCCGAATGCTCACTAATGGCTACAATAGGGGTTACTGAGGGTCACTGGACTGCACAACTGTCATCTGTCATAATTTGCATGGAAAATCATAACAAGAGCCACAATTTTAGTCCACAAAGACACTTGATTAAGTATGTGAATGTGTGTGTTAATATGTGTCTGTTCGCACCCAGGTGGCCTAGAGGTCACAGATAAATCTACATCAGGAGCCATTAATAATTCATGCTGTCCCGACAGTGCTCTCACTATAAATACACCCAGAGCTCTCTGCTGCTATGGTGGCGTACACAGTTAGGTCAATTACTTAGTTTTAAGGTATAGCATTTGATGACTTCTGAGGCAGGAGGAGGTACAACTTCATCAGCAGCCCAATTCATTTCCACTTCTAATATCAGTTATATTGCAAATGCACCCCCAGTGAAATGCACTACCCTTTATTGCATTGATTATGTTGGCGTGTTGGTTAGATGGGGAGCAATTACCAGATTAATGAGTGAAGGATATAGTGAAAGACTGAATCATTTAATGTAATGGTCAAACCTTGGAGAAATGCAGATCCAATAAGAAAATCCCTGATTTAACACACCTATACATAGACACTTTTACATTTATAGCATAGGGATTTTGGCTAATTTCTTCACCGTAATGACACTCACTTAATTCCCACATAGAAAGCGATTAATCTTTGTCAATATCCTTGAAACGACAAAGGCTCGACTGAGTGTCGACACAGCGATCGATAGGTTTTGATTTTATGGTAGGGTTAGAGCTGATAGATCTTATTTACAGTTATTGATTTAGCCTCTTGGTAACAAACAAAGACAAACTGGTCATGTTTTTAGTGAAAATTAGCCTTAATTTATGTATGCATTTATGTCCTCCTGTCTCAGGGTCTGTGTGATGTGTTATAATGTGGTAACATGAACAAAAATAGCAGATAACTATTTAAAAATAGTACAATTAAAAATATATATTTAATTTGCTCAGTATTATTCATTGAAGGCTCTTTTGAAACTATACCGCATGTTAATGACCTTATGATTTTAAAATGATTTTAGCCTGTCAAATTAAATTAGTTAAAAACGTCAAATGGCAAAAGCACACAGACATTTAATTATGTTTTAAATGTAACACATTTATTTTAAGAGTTAAGATCAGTGACGTGCGGTGAGGTTCATGGCTGGTGAGGCACTGACTCTTTCAGAGTCAGATTTAAAAATATTATATTTTGACCTTAATCGAAATATTCGGTTATTTTCAAAAGCTTTTTTAGTCTGATGCTTCGATTCATTTTAAACAGACCGTTCAAAAAACCCAAAATCTAAATATTGGATTGTTCTTTCTTAGTAAGATCCCATTTTCATTACAATTGGGTCTTACCTTGACTTGAAGATGAAGTCCATGCTATCCTTCTGGACAACAATCTCTATTACTTTTTTGTAAAAGTTATAAAAAGCGATTGGAATCATACATAAATCACATTTACAACACAGATCAGTGGAGACATTTTATTATTACTATTTAGATTTTCTTTAGTTGTTTTCCCGTTACATTGGAGTATGACAGGTGAGGCTCTGCCTCCCCTGCCTCCCCTGACTGCACGTCGCTGGTTAAGATGGCAAACTTTTCAGGATGAAAAATCCCATGAATATTGTCAGATTAGTTTACTGTTAATTAAACACGTTTTTGACATCACATTCTCTGTTTTAGGATGACATTTAAATAAGATTCAGCATATTGTACAGTGGATTGTTCAACAGCAGGGAACAAATACACGATTCAGTGATAGAGCATGTTGTCCAAAGTTAAATTAAAGGAAACCCTAATTATGTCCAAATTATGATACACCTTTGATCAGATTTATTTTCAGTGAGAGGAAATGGTTGATATGATTGCTGAACTGTTTAAGAAACAAGTTGGTTAATCGCAGCTTCAGGTAAAATCTTGGTATTTATGAATAGTGTAATATAATAAACACTTTTGATGGAAGATATAGTTGGAACCAGGAAGTTATACATATTGATAAATTGACTTACATACATTCAAGTGCAGAATGACCTCCTTTCCAGAAGGAAAATAAAAAAGAGGCAACAGGGAAAAAGCATTTTCACAGATGATCTCGATCAAAGCTTCTATGAGTTGTTGCTATTGCAGCTTATGAAGGTGCACAAAAATGGGCTTTATAAACAATCATAGCTTTTACACAGCACAAGGTATACAGCTGAATTTAAAGCACATGCACAAAAGAGTACAATATGCATAGTTCAAACTCATTCAAAGATCACATTATTTAAAAAACCATATATGTTAAAGGTCCCATGTCATGATTTTCCCGTCCCCTTGTGTGTTATGTAGCTTTTTCTGAGTATGACGGTGACGTGACCATACCCAGGTGCAAATGGACCAATCCGTGGAGCTCTTCACACGCACGCACGCACGCACACACACACACACACACACACACACACACACACACACACACACACACACACACACACACACACACACACACACACTCACACACACTCAGCCTTGCCTTTTCTCAGCCGCGGCTCCGTGGATCTCCATTCAGTGTGTCGAACTGTGAGTTCTGCGGTGTCTCGCAGACCCCACGCAGCAACCAGGAAACAACACCAGTAATCCAGCTCACACTGTCCACTCCTCGAGCCTCAAAGGGCGGAGCAGCGAACCCCGCAACGTCCCGCCAACACGGCACTCACGCAAATGCCATTATGTTGCCCATTAAATATATTTGAGTGATTCACGGGGAATAAAACAACTACTTATTATATATTCAGTGGTACCCATATATCTTCTGTGGTTTAGACTGGTATACAATAACATGGTTGCAATAGGTGCTAGATACCAACCAACCCTTTTCCTCATGTCAAAACAATGAATATGACTTATTTTTCTACATTGCTGAGATATTACATTTTCATTTTAAAGTCATTTATCTTTTGAGCTGAAGTTAAAATATGTTGAGCCAAACACATTATATGTAAATAAACACCATAAATCATACCTAACTAGACAAATGTATTATATTCTGTATATAACATGCAAATCCATGAGATGTGGCTGCTACGTTGTTTTTAGTGATGCAGTAGACTCACGCTAATATAATACAGCCATTCTTGTTTTATCATTGAGAGTGTTGGGCCATCAGGGACAAGGGGGAAATATAATACACACCTATAACATATTATATATTTACCACTATAACAAATGCTTTCCGAGTGTCATAAACTGCCTGTCAGCACATTTGTCTGACAGCGCCACAGAGGCAGTCACTGGTGACTAAGACATTTCAGCGATGCTGAATTGCAATCAATACATCTCAAGAGTTATGTTCAGGCCTTAATAAAACAGCAACAAAAGGCTAAAAAGATTAGTTTCTTCTAAATCTAAAAAGGTGCAAACTTTCCCTTTGCAACCCTGCAGAGTTTGTTACCGTGCAGTGCAGTGCAGATAGAGAGTGTTAAAACAATAATGTGCTTTTTGTTTTGACTCTGTACTCTGGAGATTGGATCTAAAATGAAAGAACTAAGAGATGAAATTGCTTACTCCCAGCTTCTTACAGTGTTTGAGGGTGTTAACATCCACATTGGGGGAGAATTATCAGATTCACAGTCTTTTTACCTTCCAATCATTGAACAAAAGGCAGCAGGACAATAACTATTCACACATAGACAGGGCAAAAAAATACTTTTTATTGCCAAACATTTCAGACCAAGTTAGTCAGTTGACTTCAGTCCAACTGATAATGTGCTTTACTACTGAAGACCAGACTGAAGGCGACAAGCATCTAAAACCACAAAGCAGTGAAGACAGCAGCAGTATAGCCTGGCAGAATGGGAAGAGTAGTCTGGAAATGATTTGCAAACCAAATATTGAATCAGACAACTTCATTTCGGGGCCACTTCTACTTATTTCCCAAGATATCTTACAAGTTAAAGCTGAGAATCAAAACTTTAACATCACAGTCACATTACAATTTAAATCTCATAAGCTGACGTAAATACATTACAAGTCTGACTGCACTATATTGTATATATAAATCTAGTATTTTTACCCTGTTAGTTTTCCTGGTCTGACCCAAGAGGGAAATTATAACTTTATCACACATTATTGTTTTTAAAACTATGGCACAGTAGGTCCCTACTTACCTGTTACAAACTATGAGGATTATGGTTACAAGTCACATAAAAATGGTTATTGTTTAAAGTGGAAAGTTGAGAGAGATTTGTTCGATATCTTTTTGCATATTTTTGTAAAGTTATTTGTCGACCTCTGCAGTGGTTACTCTTGTGCTGTTCATATGCAGCCCAGCTAAAGCAAAGGGATATTAGGGATTGTGTTTGCTTGCCTCTGCCTGCCATTTTGAAAATGTGTTGGGTTTGTTTACTTTGAGATGATTCAACAAGAAGGTCGATCAGTCACGGAAATCTATCTGAGAGCATTTAAAAAAACAGATTTGTCTCAAGAAGTGATTAGGAAAACTGTTGAACAGACTGAGTGAAAATGAATACCAAGACACCTGGTGGCCTTCTAGAGTAGAATACAGCTGTTTTTTGCACAATGTATACAGTTTAAAAAAAACACAGACAACTAAGTATTTAAAAAAGAGAATCATATTAATAATCACCTTAAATGCACAACACAGCCACACATAATGTGTCTGCCATGAGGGAGAACGCTGACAAGTTTTCATCTTCAGAGCACATGCAATGATGTTTAGTTCTGTAGGCCTAAAAATAAAAAAATATAAAATATGATGTATATCTTATTGATATTGAATGACTGCAATTTTGTTTTAAGTCAAATGTGATGTATGCAAAAGAAGAGGGACTGAACTGATCATTGAGTGCCCGACTACAGTCTGTGATTTTCTTTCCTCAAGTTATAGTCATGTTTTGCAAGTGAAGCCTGATGTACATGAATGCAGGCCCCGTTACTTTTCTCCTGCCTTTGATGAGTCTGAGAACCACAAGAAAATCACACTATTCTGGTACCACCATGGTGGACTTGGCACATACTGTTTGAAACAAAAGGGCGTCTGTTTTTATGTATGTTGTTCTGGCACTAAAAAGAAAAAATGGTTCAGATACATTGTGTGCATGTTGGTATACAAAACATATAACAGATTTAACTTAGTCTGTTCTTGTGGAAAAAGATTATGTCAAAAACTGATATTTAACAGAAAAAAAGAAAACTTGCAAAAAAAGAAGGAAAAAAAAAAGATAAGCACAATGTGTTGATGGTGTCTGCTGTTCCTCCACAGGTGTATAACACTATCAAATTAAAATTAAACTGCAGTGTGACCAAACGCCTGAAAAACAGAGTGATTTCCACCATGACTCCTTACAAAATGATATAGTAATAGGGTGATTAATGAATTAGGAAAACCTGCCTATCAAAATGTTTGGATGTGAAATGGTACGTAGATTAATCTCCAGAAATGCAATTGAATGATATGCAATATAGCCAAACATATGTGGTGAGAGTTGTTCTGTATTCCAGGTGTTACTACATCTGTCTTTAGAGACAGTGCAAATCCCTGTAGAGTCTTTAGATACAAAGCATATAGTCATTTTGAAAATGTATGACGACAACCAATAAACGAGACATTCTGTACAGCGACCTAAGACTTGTATTTGTTCCCATTTCTCATCATCTTTTGCTGTGCTGATCGTTACATTATCAAGACGGATGGTAACATTTTAATATTGATTATTCATTTGAGATTCATATTTCACAAATGAGTGGATGGCTGCTCAGCCCCAGCCCAGTTGCAAAATGAGGTCTCGGTAAGAGCAACTGCATCGATATATTGTTTGGCAAATGGCAAATGTTTATATTAATATCACCGGGCAATGATGTGGATTAGACCCTAATCTAATAACTGAATGCTGCATTACAAGACATTACCAATTTGGGGTAAATGAAGAACATTTGCAATCTGCAGGCCTATATATTTTCTTTGCTTTGTGGGTGAAGGAAGTAAATGTGAATTGTGGGTTATATCAAAAATCACTTTTGCTGTGTACAGTAGTGTAGTACTACACTTCATCACAGTGTTATATTTAATCTCAATCAATTGTATTTGAGTGTTCTAATTCTGAGCGTGAAATGTGCAATGCCTAAAATAATTACCACAATAGAAAGACAATAGTAGGGTCCAGGGCATACTGCCTATCCCACTATGTAACGCTACACATTGTATGCGATAAATTGTGATTATTCGAATGACTGAAGTCTCAATTAGCTGCATACTGTACTATAGAGTATGTGTTGACTTAATAGAGAGAAGTGAATGAATGAGT